GAACCTAAGAGTTACAAGCCTCAGTGTCATAAACCAGAAGTTTTCCCGGGTCGCATGGGATGTGATAGTTACTGAGGGTCTGACCTAAAAAGGTGCTGAATGAGGTACATGCTTTAGGACTAGGAAGTTGTGCTCTATGATGAAAATCTCTGCCAGGCATCCTCACATGGATGGGCTGCCTGACTTTCCTGGAGATTCCTAGGCCATCCTACAACTCTGTGGATGCCCCTTCCCAGCAGGTATGTTGGCATCTTGCTGCACGCTGTCATCATGAAGCAGGCTAGCCTCCTGAGAGCATACACATTCTTTGCAGGTTGGAAACATCTGTAAAACACAGTGAACCTGTATTGTTATTTTTCTTCACTAGTGTTGTTGCTCTGTGATCCCGTTGAAATAAGGATACCCACTGTGCTTAAAGCAGACTGTTCTTATGCTGTAAACAGGAAACACAAGTAAATGGAAAGTTTTGATTTGGAGAGATTCATACACCTGTCCAAGGCAAATGAATGAATGTCCTGATACTACTTACAGCTTGATGTCTTTTACTTTTGGTGGACACGCACTGAATCCTAGCAGTTGATTTCAGTACCCAACCAGCTAAAGCTGGATTTCTTTCTTACCAATATATAAACAACTTCACAGTGCTACAAATATAGTATAAAAAATGTACTTACATGTCTATATATGCAGCTATACATACAGATAGATACATATAGTGATTACAGTGAATATTTAAAGAACCAAAATATTCCTGGTCACAGAATGGAAAATTTATCGTAGTCTAAGCCTTGGAACATGCCAGACTTGATATTTTCAGAAGCATTTCTAAGCGCTGAGAAACTTTCTTAACTCAGTGGATTTTTTCCTGCCAGTCAGCTGCTAAGACACTGGATTGTTGTCTCTTTCTGACCTGTTCTTTTAGTTCTTTTCCTCTTGTCCTGTCATACTTTGACATTCATAAAAAGGAAACTCTCTGTCTAAACCAGTGATTATACATAAAAAAAGAATCATGGCCTGTCAAGAAAATGACATTCTCTTTTCCTTATCCCACTTTATATATGAAGAGGGTTTTTTCAGGCCTATTTCACATATTAGTTTTTTTTATTATATTGAAAGATATTTTGCACTTAGTGGTTTTCACCTGAAGATTGTATAGTGGTTTGGAAGCATATAGAAATTCATAATACCTGTTATGTAACATCTGAGACAAATGGGCTAGAAATAATTTAAGCCAAGAGGAGGGGCAAATTTCCAAGTATTTTGTTCAGTAGCAGAAGGGACTTGATAGAAGGGTATTCAGAAATACATGAGCTGTTTTTGACAGAAGAATTCAGGCAGATGCTTCGAAGCATCCAGATCTGAGTAATGAATGTGTTATCCCGACACCTTCCCTTCCTGTCTCCTCCTGTGCATCCCTCATGTGCACCTTAATCTCTCAAAAGAGGAAACCGATAATTCCTGACCTTTCCAAGCTCCCCTGTATTTCCTGGACTGTTGATATGAGGCAAGAGCGTCAAACACCCATCCCACGGTTCGAATGATAATGTCAGTCAATGTGAAATGGTTCTATCAGAGCCAGGTGTTTCACCATCCTCTGTGAGTTAAAAAAAAAAAAAAGTGATTTTTCCTTCCTCTCTTTCCATCTAACAGCTAAAGCTTTGACTATGCATCAACAATAGGTTTGTGAGCCTGTTAGCACTGTTTAGTTACCAAGTAAACACAAGGACCATGCTCACACTGAGCTACCACGTGTGCATGGCTCAACGCTGTACACAGATGTAACTTCCTGCAGAAAACTGAAGCCTGAAAGAGAAAAAGAATGGGTAAACACTGCAAGTGGCTGGCTGATGAATTTTCAGATTTATTCGTGGATCTTAAGAGTCTGAAGCAGAGGCCAGGACAGTCTCCCAGTTGCACAGTTGAAAATAATAGTGAACCAGCTTGGTCTGATGTATAGCCCTTGATGGTGACTCTATATGTAGCTAGGGCCCTTGAGATCTCATCCAGGTTTTTGCCCTATTGATTTTAATGCAAGTGATGACCCTAAAAGAAGGACAAAATGTACAGACACAACCATATTTTAAAAATTCTTCCTCTATAAACACCTACACAAATACATAAATAATTTTCTTAAACGTGTCTTCTGTGCCTTTGTCCTGCTCACTCAGGGGTCTGGTTAATAATACTGTGTAAATACAAGACTGTGATTCTTTGATATTGAAAGGATGTTATGGTTTTCTTTCACTGGATTTTTTTTTTCAGTGTCTTAATTACAGTAAATTAGAATAATTAGAGTGAAACAATTTGAACCCTACAACTCCTTATGGTTTTATGCCACTTTTCAGAATGATAATGAATATTAATGTAAATCATTGATATATTCTTACTACCTTTTACTCCTTATAGACAACTTTCCATGTCACAATTTTGCTCTACATAGAATTCTGTGCAGTCATTACTAAGAACAATAAATGTAATATTCCAGCTGAGCAAAGAAAATTAAGCTTTTGGTGAACCATATTACAGATAAAAATTAGCAACGGGCAATTTCCTAATAATGAGTATCTATGATAACATAAAATGAATTTTGCTTCTGTAAAACCTCTCACACATAAATGTATAGTTTTTTAGTCACAGATCAATAAACCAAAATAAACTAAAGCAAAATGGAGTGTGCTCAAAGTATAATGACCATACAAAGGAGCTACACATTGCAAGAGTTATCATAGGAGCTGATCTTTTTTGTCCTTTTTCTGTTTAGGATTTGATTTTATTTCTTTCAATTAAAAGCATATGCACTGTCTGCAATAGTTCTTTTCTAGTTTCATTACCGGATCATTATTGTTGCTGAATGTCCTCTAGAATATGTAATGTGACTAACAATCTGTCACCTGAGATCAGCTTTCTATCTTGCTCTTTCCTGAAGGAGAGTAATTGTGTTCATAATACTGTTATATTGATAAGATTTCCTCCCTCACCATCTCTATTAGCACACACATTTTTCTGCATGTTTGTGTTAAAAGAGTTGTGTGTAATTTTGCTACTGCAACAAAATGTGGGAGGTTATGTGGTAGCTCTGTGGCTATTTGTAGAAGATGTTGGCATGGTCTTTTATCCCTCATTTAAAGGGAGTTTTTTCCCAGTGAATGTCCCAATCATACTTCAGTCATACTTTTGCCCAAGAGGTAAATAAGTAAAATAAAAATATGAAAGGGGAGTTGTAATAACCCCTTATAAAGGATAAAGGGAAAAGAAAGAAGCCCAAGAAGCTGGTTTATTTCCCCAGTGCACTTCAGTAACAGTCCCTTAAAAGCGCAGAGATGTGTCTGTTCCAGGGGAACTTTAATGGTATTTCTCAGATGTCATAAAAAATTGCAGGAACACAGTGCCAAATTCTTATATGTAGGCCATTAAACTATGACTGAGTCCAAACAAGTACCTCAGAAACCTCTAAGCCACATAATTTGCTTACAGCCTCATAAGAAGAAATTGCAAAAGAAAAGGATATAATATGTCAAAAATTTTCCTTTTCATGCCTTATCATTAACAGAACAGCAAGAAGATACCAAAAGTAAAAATCTGATGACCTGTTTAAATCTAGATTTAAATCTAGCTTTGGAACTCATTCCATAAGCTTTGCTGCCAGATAAATCACAAGTGGATTCTAAAAGTAGACAATCACGTAATAGTGAAAACCTGTCTGATAAAATAAGGAAAGGAAGGGAAATATAAGCTGAACTTCTTTGTAGAATAAGCCTGTCACTAAGTGACTGGGCTTAGCAACAAATGCCATTTGAACCACTATTATTTTGTATTGGGTATGGCACCATTTTTTCAGACACCTATTATTTGGACTGCTGTGGAAAAAAACATGTGAATGAATGGATAATCACTATATCTCCATAGAGCTGATATGTTTTGTTATTTTCTGTGCAAGCAAAAAAAAAGTCCTAAATTTAAGCTGGAATGTGAGGGAAGACTGTTTTAGTCTTCTGTTGTAGATGAATTTGGACTTCTTTCTTTGTATTCATGATAACGTTTGTTAACTCGACACAGAATTTTATTGGAAAGCTCACGGACTTTATGTAAGATCTAGTCACAAAGTAGGAAGAGGTCAATGGATTTGCAAGGTTAAAAATAGTTTTTCCTTTGTATGTTGGATAGATGAGAGAGGTCTTTCTTTTTAGTATGTGAAATATTACTGGAAATGCACTCAGCTGAAAGAGCAAACACATTTCAGTTGGAAAGTGGGGAACGGAAGGTTAAATACAGAGTTGGTTTCTGAGTCAATGTCCAGAAGACTGTGGGCTCTAACATGGCATTTTTAGAGCCATGAGAAACTTTGCAAGCCCTGTGGAGTACAGTAATAGGGATTTGTAGATTGGGTTTATGTTTTTGAACAGCTGCCTGGTATGCTTTGACTTCAGATGGTAAATGCTATCATGGCAGGAGATCCAGGAAAGAATGGCAAAGGTTGGCCTACTCTAAATTTAATCTGTGACTACTTGAGCCAGGATTTTGAGACATTTGTGTTAACTATTCTCAGGGCTCTTGTCAGTCAGGAACTAATAAGGGTATGAAGAACTAGTGCCCTCCAATGAGAAATCTCAGTATGGCAGTTCAAATCAATTTTGGGGCCATATAAAGAGCATATGGATACTTTATGTACTATAGCAGATGGTAATTATGATTGGCATCACTCTTGCCCTTTAAACAACATCAAAACAATGACTGCTCTCCTTACTCCCTGCTCATTTGCAGAACATCTGTTCCAATAAAATATGCTGTTGCTTCAGCTACAATGGCTAGTTTTAACATAATAGGCTACCTTCTATTAGTCAAGTGGTGTTACAAGACTTAAAGAAAAGAGTTTCTAGACATAAAACCATAATCCATGTAACAGTTACTCATATTTTAAATAAGCATAATCTCACTATCTATTTTGGTGTCAGTCTTCAGACCTCACTACCCGAAGACACTTCTGAGCATGGGAAGGCCGAAAATGTGCAACATGTGAATTCAAAAAAAGCACCAAATTCTAGGACTCCTACAATAAGGTAGGTTTGGGCTTAGTTTATGCAGATGTTCAAGAATAAAATGAGCTTGAAAAGCTTAAAAAGAATAGGCGGGACATGGGTATGGGCAATGCAGTGTTCCACCACTGCATGTATCTCTGGTTAACCACAAGTCTTGAGGAGATGATCTGTGCACCCTTTTTCTCACTTGTGTGAGCTTTATTTATATACCATTGTGATATTAGACTGAGTGTAGATAGTCATTACTGTATAAACAGAAGTGCCAGCAGAGATTTTCTAGAAGCAGTAGGTTTGGGGCATGAATGCTGGTGTTATACATTCTTGAATGTGCTTTTAATCCTGCCTGGATGTTTAGGCTGGGCACTACTGTCTGGGCTGCGTTTTGTAAAGGTTGCCTGGGTCTCATCAGGATGAGAGACATCTGATGCAGGAAGGCATGAAAAGCCAGTACAACAAAAAATCCATGTGCACAGACATGTAGTTCTGCTGAGAATTACTATCCAGTGAGTGCATGTGACATGGTAAGAGGAGGCTATGCTATTTCCTGAGACTTTGTTTCTGCCTCTCTTTACTTCCAAAGTTGCCTTATGTATGCCTTGTTGTACAAAATGATCACTGTTATTCCATCATGCCAGACAACTGGTGTTCCTGACCAATTATATCTTATAACCCATTTTAATCCTTAGCCAATACTGTTTTGTGATGCCCTACTGTGCAGTGTTTGTAAATCCTGAGTAGGTCTATAAGTATTGATGTCTGCTCAGATATAAGAATTACTTGGGCTATGCTCTTTCCTAAGCTCCTGATTTTGTCTTCTGATGGATGAAAAGGAGAATTTAAAACTGCATTCTATTTTGCCGCAGAGAACAATACGCCATGAAGAGATATTATCAGTTCTGACTTGTGTGCTCACTGCCTGAAGTGTGATTGATCACCAGGAAATCAAGGTATCATCCCTATACTTGCTCAGATGCGATGCCTAAGAAATACCCAGATTAAAACACTGGACCCTACCCCGCCCCAACTTCTTCTCCATCTCCCCCTAGCCTTTTCTGTAAGTGTCCATGATTAAAGAATGTAAGTTTAAGCAGATTCAGTGACAAAACTCTGCAATAGGAAATGCAGAGATAAGCTGTGCAAAAAAACCCCAACCCAAAACCCAACCCAAAACCCCCAAACCAAAACAACAACAGTGTTTGTAAATGTTTCCCAGATGAAAAGGGACATAATCTGGGTTTGGATCAGGGTCTGGAAAGGCACTGCTTCAAGCAGCATGTACCTGTCCATTTGTGTAAGTGTGGCCACTGAAGTACAAGCTGCCGAAACCTGGAGCTGGTTTTGCAAAAATGGGGCATGTGGTCCTGAAATTTTTAGATAAAATTTTAACCCATAAATCTGAGCCAGAATTCACTGCTTGACTGCAGGTATTTTGTTGTTTTGTGACCCTGGATACTATTAAAGGCAATGTTTCACACGGAAGCTATTAACTTTCTACCTCATGAAGCATATTCTTCCAAGCCCTTCTGGAAATCCATAGCATCAGTTAATTCTTAAGCCTTTAATCTTTGTATATTCTAGGTACAGAAACCTATTACTTATATATTATTTTTAGCTCTATCTTTGTACTAGGCCTCATCCTTCAGTAATGACTCTCCATTGTGAACTTTATTATTGTTATTGTTATTTTTGTTGTTGTTATTATTATTATTTCCATGGTTACAGTACCACTAGTCAGGTTCTTGGTTTTATTTGGTTTTAATGAATTAATTAATTTCATGTAAAGATTTTTTCCATTAAACTAGTGTAGTTATATTTGATCAACTGTGGATAATTGTAGATATTAATTAAATTCACACCACTCTTGGGCCTCTGAAATGTTGCATAAATTATGAAACCAGGCGGTGGTCTCTAGGTAGACCAAAACCTGTGTATTCCTGACCAAGAAGAAATCAGGTAGTAGAACGAAAAGTCAGAACTTGTTTTATTATTTCACAGAATCACAGAGTATGCTGAATTGGAAGGGACCACAGGGATCATCAAGTCCAGCTCTTAGCCCTGTACAAGACCATCCCTGAGAGTCACACAATGTGCCTGAGAGATCACCCAAACACTTCCTGAACTGTCAGGCTTGGTGCTGTGACCACTGCCCTGAGGAGCCTGTTCCAGTGCCCAACCACCCTCTAGGGGAAGAAGCTCTTTCTAATATCCGACCTAAACCTCCCCTGACACAACTTCAGGCCATTCCCTCCGGTTCTGTCCCTTGTCACCACAGAGAAGAGATCAGTGTCTGCCCCTCCTCCTTCCCTCATGAGGAAGTTGTAGATTGTGATATCTCCTCTCAGTCTCCTCCAGGCTGAACAGAGCAAGTGACCTCAGTCACCTCTCAAGGCCCTTCACCATCTCCGCTGCCCTCCTTTGGACACTCTCTAACAGCTTAATATCTTTCTTATATTGTGGCACCCAAAACTGCATACAATATTCAGGGTGAGGCAGCTCCAGGTCAGAGCAGAGGGGGACAATCCCCTCCCTTCACTGGCTGGTGATGCTTTGCCTGATGCCCCCCAGGACAGGGTTGGCCCTCCTGGCTGCCGGGGCATTGCTGACGCAGATTCAACTTATCAACCAGAACCCCCTTTCCTGTCACTGCTTTCCAGCATATCATTCCCCAGTCTGTATGAACAGCAAGGGTTGCCTCATTTGAGGGCACTTTTCAAGCCAAGTTCAGGAGGTATTCCTGAGATGTGAGAGTCTGGCCTGTCAGACCATCACATGACAAAACTGGGCAGTGCCTGCTTCTGGATCTGAAAACCTTTGAGGCAAGGAGCAGAACAGCATAATGGGAAGGGCTGTCTTCTTCTCCTGATGCTCGAGTGGATTCATGGACTTGAGCACTGAGGAAAAAAGGGCTTCATAATGTCACAATGTGGATAAAAATGATGAGTAAGAAAGGAAGCATGTCTTTAACAGAAACATGAGTGCTCTGGGAGCTTGAGTCAGTTAATGAGTGCAGGACTGTACATTATCAAAGAAAGAGTTATTTATGAGCAAAGAGAGGTGAGGAAGGAAACGTCTCCTGCATCACACATTTTCTTTTCCCATCTCTCTTGCAGTCTGCAACATCATGGCCAAGAAATATACCTTTGAGCCCCAGATGTTGCAAATTTTTCCCACTGCATTCATAGAAGCTGGCAGGAAGCATGTTCTCATGCTTACACTGAAGCAAAATAATAGCACTACTAATAAGAACAAACAAAAAGAATTCCCTCAACCAAAAAGTTGAAACTCAAACTTGTAATAACATAAAACCAACCCAGGCATATGGGAAGCATTAAACACAGCAGTTTCAGTGATTGTGAGAGATGAAACCAAGTGGTTTAGGTCAAGGGGAGTACTCAGTTGACAGAAGACAGATGTGGGGATGATGATGTTTAAATCCTCACATTTCCTTGGTACATCTCCAGATGTAGACAAGGTGTAAATCATGAATGCAGCCATTGATGGCTTGCCAGAGGTATGGCACAGAGAATAAGCAATAAGAAAACAGAAGGCTAATGCTTAGAAAGGGTTTTTTAACACCTATTGCTCACTGTGATCTTTTTTCTCAAAGACAAATGATTGGTTTTGAGGGGAAATTTTACTTTTTATCATCTGACATACTTCAGTTATGCATGGAAGATGTGAACCAAAGAGTGAAATGCCAGGCACAAAGACAGATGTGGAATGTTCATCCACGTTAGACTGTCCAGTGTGACTTTTCCACAGGACAGCTTTCTCAGGCAGCTCTCACTCCTCACCTCTGCTCCCCACCCTGTGCATATTCTCGGGCCTGAATAGCTAAGTTAAAAAAGAGGGAATCCTCTGGTTCCCTGGAATACTGTAATTTTCACCAGGAGAATAGAAAAGAAAAAACCTTAGACCCTGGAAGGCAGACAGCTCAGTCTTCTTTCCCTGAAGTCAAAAGCCTCTGATGAACACTTGCCATTTCCAGCTGCATAATGTGATTGTTGCATGCTCAAGAAGGTTCTGTTTGATCATTGTTCCTTAGAAAATATATCTCCCTCATGAAGGACAGGTTCCTGTGTTCATTCTCCCTGTTGCTGAACTCTGAAGAGAGCAGGGATTACAAGTGTGCTGCACCTTCCTCTCAAGGGCCAGTCTTTGTCAGGCTGTTCCCTCGTGGTGGACTGACAAATTCTTCACAGGCCTAAATGAATGTCTAGAATTAGATTCTGCTCATAAAACCACATTTTGACAAATATCTGGACAGATGGGAGGAACAGAAAATACCTCTCACCAATCTGCTGGGATGCTACAGCAGGATGCGAACACTCAGTATGCTTGTGTCTCTGTGAACCGGAAGAAAGGTACCTTAAACCCCCATTTTCCTTGCAAAGAATTCAGATAGTCACTTGTTTGGAGCTTCTCCTGTGTTTCCCATATTTAGATTCCTATGATTCTCAACATGTTGATCCTGCACTCAGCTGTGATTTTTTCTCATTCCCAGGTTTCTGTGTTTCAGTGGTTAGAAATTCACTTTTTAGGAAAAGAAGTAAACTTTGGGCAGCAAACTAGCTCATGGTTTATTTTAAAGGAGATCAATAACACTACATAGAATTAGAAAGCGATTGTTCTTTAAGAATGCTTTATTATGTATTGTTTTTCCCCAGAGAAAAAAAAAAAGGTGAGATTGGAATCACTATTTCCAATCACATTGCCAAATCACTACCTTTTTGAGAAGCATTTTACAATCTGTACTGTGTCTGTACTCTGTGAAGCTACTTAGAAAATACTGTATTGACAGTAAATTATGGTCAGCAAAGAAAGCCCATACAAAATAAATCCTCCTGTAGTAACTCATATCACAGTGCACTTCTGTTTCACTCAGTCATACATAGTCAGGTAGAGTTATTAGTCTCTTATTTCTTTAACTTTTCATATATTACTCCAAGGTTCTCCATGAAAAACTGTGGATTATTCATTATCCTGTTCTCTACTTGTTAAAGCAAGTCTCTTTCCATGTTGATAAGGGAAAGACCGTCTGATTAAAGCACTCAGATAACCCTTCTCTGATTTTGAGTTCTTATAACTTCTGCCACCTTCAATAAAACTGAAGGTATGCTCTTGTTCTATAATTTTAGGCTGGTTTTATTCAGAATTTTCCTTGTCTGTTGATGTTTTAGGTTGCATCTTAATGCCATAAGTATAACTTTGTGTCACAATCTACAGTTCTGTGACCAGTCACATCAATACTCTAATAGCATGTATAAATACATTTATATTATTGTACAGTATTTTCTCTTATACCAGCTCTAATGACATTTTTTAATAATTCTGAATACTTGACCTAATTTCTTTTGAGGTGAGCTTAAATGATAAAAAAATTAACTTTAATTCAGTAGACAAAGAAGAGGTTTTATGTCCTTATCTTACTTCAGTGGAAAAGTGTGTTGTTTCCTGTTTGTCTTTGAGGGCAGACTTTGCTCTCCAGAGTTGGAATAATGGCTCTGAATGCACCCTAATGAATGAGCTTTACTGCAAACATTTATCACCATACTATCTGAATCTTTCACCAATATTAATTAATCTATCCATTATTTATGGGTTGTGTTGAGACCTCCAAAGACTGAAAGCAAAAGCTCAAGTTTTCTTGCTCCACTCTCTTCCATAATGATGAATCTAGCCCAGCAGGGGAATAAGAGATCAGATGATAAAGCTGTGAGACTTTTTATTTCTGTAGAAAGCGCAGGAGACACAAAGCTAAGTCTTACTGCCCCTACTACTCTGGAAAGTGACAACGAAGGGTAGTGGGCAGAGCAGAAGATGTGACAGGAAATTGGGGCACACAGGAAATCAGGAAACACAGATCAGTGGGATAAGAATATATGCAATGGAGAAGAGGTAAGTTTAATTTTTGGGTTTATGCTTGGTAGTTTTACACTTTCACAAT